CCAGGCACCTGCTTTGGAGTCGGAGAACGAAGAAGGCACCAGGGACAGCGGGGAGCTCCGTGATTCCAATCTGTGTCTACTGAGATTTCCCGGGACTGGGGGCGAACCAGGGGTCACACAGAGCATGTTGGTGGCAGGAGATCCAGTTCCCCAAGAACCTGGCCCTGCTCAAAACATGGTCCCAGCTCCCGCCCCTCCCAGACTGGATGTCCCCAGGCGGCCAGCTCAGTGCTCGCTCCTCAACCCCAAGCCATGGGTCCCCAGCAAGTCACTGCACCCCTGGACTTCTCGCCACCCTGCCTCCCTCCTGGTGCATCCAGGAACTAGAATGGGGCTCCCAGGAGTCACCACAGGACCTGGACAGTTACGGCTAACACTGGCCCTGGGAGTGCTCTCAGCCCACTGCAGGGAAGCCTCACTGCTGGCCGTGCAGCTGCAGACTTCCCAGGCAGGAGGTGACCACTAAGGCCACGCGTATTCAAGACATGATTCCAGCCTCGCTGCAGGAACCTGCTGCCATCACCTCCCTATTTCCCGGAATCCCTCCTCGGTCCATCCTCTGGAATGTATTCCCTGAGGACAGGATCAAGCTGTTGTCCCTAGTGGCTGTGGCCTGTGCTCAGGGCAAGGCAGGGTGCTTGGTTGTGTAGTGGGGACATTTTGGCTGAGAGCTAAACCCCAGGTGTATTTTTTTATTGTATTTATTTGTTTAGTTTTTTAGTTTTAGAGACAGGTCTCACTATGTAGTCCAGGCTGGCCTTGAACTCACTATGTAGTCTAGGTTGCTTTGAACTCTAAGCGATTCTCCTGCCTCAGCCTCCCAAGACGTGTATTTTTATCCTCAGTAAATCATGATGCTGGTATATCAGTAGTCCTCAACCACTGAAGCAACATGATTTAGCACACACACTGTGTGTGTGCACGTGCGTGTGTGCAGGAGTGGGTGTCAGAATCTGAGCTCTGTGTCCCCTTGATTCCTGTGTAGATGCTCACACTGCTGATGTGACATTGGAGGCAGGACCTCATAAAAAAAGGGAGAGAGACAGATGGGACATGGTGGGGGTAGCCACCTATAGGCCACAATTTGCTGAGTTTACGAGCACCAGGACTTTGGACTTCTGGCTGGCAGAACTTGGAGAGATAAATGCAGTTTAAGCCACCAGCCCTCAGTACTTGCTACAACAGCCCAAGTGGACTGAGCAGCGGAAGCCAGCCCAGAACAAACAATCACTTTGAGTTCCAAAGAGGATGTTTTGGGGTCCACAGCAAGACTGTCCTCCTGAAGGCCTTGTTGGAGAAGAAAAAAATTGTGAAATAATAATCTGTAATCCCAGCTCTCTGGTAGGTTGAGGCAGGAGGACTGCAAGTCTTAGACCAGCCTGGGCAATTTAGAAACTTAATAAGATTCTGTCTCAAAATTAAAAATAAAGAAGGCTGCAGGTGTAGTCCAGTGCAGAAGTCCTGGAGTTAAATCCCAGCACTGCAAAGACAAAAAGCCATCACCCATCAGGAAATAATGTACCTATACACAGCCTTGGCCAGGGACACTTGAGCTGGCAGACAAACATGGGCTTCCTCGCCTGGTGGCCAAAGGCAGCTCCATGCCGCTGCCCAGGGCATCCCACACTCACTGAACCCAGGGCCCCGCTGCCCAACAGCACCCCTGCCCTGGCAGCCTCCCCAGCCCTGATGCGTTCCTGGCCCCCTAAGAAGTGACTTAAATCAAAACCCTTGTCTCGAGACCAGCTTCTGGGAAACCTCAGTCCCAGGGGCTTCCTGTCACCAAGCAAGCACAGAGCTGGGCTGCTGAGCACGGAGGCTCCCATGGGCCTAGAAAATGCTCTCCCCACAGGGACAGAAGCTCCCTAATCCTAAGGGACACCTGAGCTCCAAGGCCAGGTCACCAGGATGCCATCAAGTGGACTCAGCCTCCTACACCTCCGGAGTCCCCCGTCTAAGGTCAGGGGGCCAAGGACCCAGCTCTTCTCTTCCTCCGAGGGACAGGATGGGGAGCTGGAGGAAGGGGTCAGTGGCCAGGGGACCTGCTGCCAGAAGGCTGCTCTGCAGTCCCTGTTGACTCAGGCTGGAGAGACGGTGCTTGTCCCTCTCTGGCAAGGACGAGGGACACAGGCACGCAGATGGATCAGCTCTGGGCCCTCTGAGCTATTGTCTCCGTAGCTGCTGCTCTGTCCCAGCCCCTCCTTCCCTGGCCACTAACCCCCAAGGACACCAGGCCCCTGCTGCTCCTCTTCCCAGAACTCCTGCGGGCCTATCTATCCCTGCCACTCTGCCAAATGCCCCTCAGCAAGGTGACCCATGACCTGCAGGTGGCTAAACGCACAGTGGGCCTGGGCTTTGTGTCACTCAGCACTGGGTAGCGGTCCTCAAACGCTCTCCGTGGCTCCTGGGCTCTCACCCACACCAGATCCCAGCTCCCGCCCCTGTGCTGGGGCTTGGATGCAGTTTGTCCCCATGCACTGAGCTGGGCCACCAGTGTGGAGGGGCTGAGGCAGTGAGACCTCACGAGGTGGGGACCTCCAGAACCAGGAGCTGAATACACTCCTCTTCTTTACAAATCACCCAGCTCTGCTGCAGTGACACAAACCCGCTGGGCCATGGCTCCTCAGCCTTCTGTGTCCGTCCCTGCACAGGGCATCTCCCCGAAGCTGCTCCCTGCTGAGCCCATCCGGGCTGGTGGCTGAAGCCATCCCATGTGCCCAGCCTGGGCCTGTCTGCCCCCAGATCCTTGCACAGCCCCTCCTGGTCCCACCTTCTCCCCCACCCCCTGTGGCTCATTCTCCACTGAGCCAAAGACAACAGATGGTTGCTCTTCTGTTCACAAGCCTCCAGAGACCTCCACTTCACCAAGCAAAGGCGGGTGCCTCCCACGCCCCAGCACAGCCTCCTCCTTGTACTTCCCGCTTGCCCAGAATGCTCCCTGTCCTCTCTCTGCTCCTTCCTCAGGTCTTTGCTCAAGTGCCACCCTCAGGCGCCACCTGATACCCTATGCCACTGTCACTTCCTGTCTGGCCTCTCTGTGTCATCACAAAACACCACCTGGTGGGACAGTGGATGGACCAGTGTGGTATTTGTGTCACTAACCACACTCCATGCCTACCAGGTCCCGGCACATGACAGGTGTTCAGTACACAATGACTGACACCCAGAGCCCACGGCAGGGACTGCGTTATCCCCTGGCCAGCACAGAGAGGTTCCTGTTCTTGCTGGGTATTGCACAGCTGGGAGGAAAAGGCAAGGTTGCCCCTGCAAGCCAAGTACTCGCCCTTAAGAGCACAGTTCGGCTGCAGATGGACCTCAGTCCCGAGCTGGACTTCAGGCCCAAGGCTTCCTGAGCCAGTTACTCCTACTCCAGAACCTCGGGTCCCCCGTGGGCAAAACGAGACAGACAAAAACAGCTAGGCAGAGAGAGGTCACGACCTGGAACGCCCTGGGGCCCCAAAGCGCCCGTGCTTATTCTAAAGCAAGGTCTCCTCCTGCATGCCAGGCACGTCCACCGCACTCCCACGCCCTGCTCTGTGTCAGAGGCACGGGAGGTGAGCTGCTGACTGATACAATAATTTCACCACAATAACCGAGTCAGTCATTTCCTTCAGAAAAGACTCTGAGAGACGCTGTGGCCCTGGATCTAACAGACCTGCTGAGTTCTTAGCTGCTGGCTCCTATACAAAAGAGGACCCCTCAGGGAGGCACAGGCAGGAGGGTCACAAGTTCGAATCTCGCCTGATCAATTGAGCCCCTTAGCTAGACCCTGTTTTAGTAAAAATGGGAAAGGCTGGGGTTGTAGCCCAGTGCAGAAGCTCTGGTTCCATCCCCAGTACTAGGGGAAAAAGAGGGCAGTGGGGAAGCTTCTTAGCAAATCTTGGCAGGACATGGGAGGTGCTGTCAATGGACTTAGAATCCTAGGCAATCCTGCAATGGTTTCAGAGATGAGGAGACCATGGGACAGTTCCAGAACCACACAGAGGGTCTTCAGTGAAGCTGGACCTGAACACGGGCTGCCCAGCCCAGAGTCCAGGCTCTACCTGCTGGTCACCGTCCCAGGAAGTCTACAGCAGTATTTAGCTTATGCAATCAGGAGAGAGGCCATTCGAGATGACCCGAGGACTGTGAATGGACAGGGGCACTTTACCCACTGTACTCCAAAAGGACCCTCCTCTCCCGTGAGAGGGGGGCAGGACCTGGGATGGTTCTTCCTTTGATACAAGATGGGAAACTGAGGCCCAGGGAAAACGGGTCATATCTGAGCCGCAGTCTCAGTGTGGGAGTGGAAGGCAGGCTCCACTGAGCCCCGAGCAGCCCTAGACCTCTTAGCTTGGGCTGAGCTGGAAGAGGGAAGCAGCCCCGCCCGCTCATCCCTCTCCACAGCCTGGGCTGCTCCTGCAGGATCCTCAGGACAGCCTCCTTCCTGTCCCATCCCATCGCCATGGCAATGACTGTGTTCCCTGGACCACAACCTACATAGGGCATCCAGCTGCTGAGCTGCCCTTCGGCATCTCTTCCCTCCCGGATCCGCATCATTAGACACCCAGGCCACATGACCAGCCTCCATGCCCATCTATACCTGGGGCCCCCCAGCCTTTCCCCAAAACACTCCAACAAGCAGTTAAGAGCCCATCTCAAGGAGAGCAGAGCTTTCTGCCACAATGGAAGTGGTCAGTGTGGGTTGTCCAATGTGCCACTGCTCACCGCATGAGGCTCTTCAAGTCACGCCTAAAATACAGCTAAGGGAGGGATCAAATTTTAAATCTGATTTAGTTCTAACTAAGTGGGAAATTAACCAGCCACATGTGGCTACCAGGGACCGTACTAGACAGCACCGTTCTGGAGCCCATTTCCGGAACAGGCCCCAGCTGTGTGTCTGGCCTCCGACCTTCCTGCTGGCAACAGGGACACTCCTGTCCCCATGTCCTGTCCCTACCCACAGCTTTTCTCTGCATCACCCCCAACCACAGCTCAAAAGATAAAAACCCTTGACCAAGTACCAACATATGACTTGCCTTTTATTCCAGCATCTCCCAGAGCTCCAATATGTACAGACTGTATTTATACACATATAATATACACCATATATACGTATTTATATATATTCACACACCAGCCCACGCGCTCAGACACTCACACGCACACACCCTTCCCGGAGGGCCGTGTGGCCCATCCCATGGTACCAGGCTCGCCAGGCAGTTGTGAGGTTTTGTGGTTTTTGCTTTTAAAAAGGCCTTTTCCTCCAGATGTGTCCTCTCGCCCCACACCCTAAAAATCTGCACTAAAACACTGAATTTTTCTCTAAAAAGATGAGGTTATCCTCAGCTCTGTCGAGGCAGTTTCTGGAGAATCCAGGCCTGTGGCACAGCCCCGTGCAGGTGGTCGGGGCCGCTTCCCCCCAGCGCTCCCTGGTGGGGCTGGAACCAGGGCCCGGCATGGCTGCAGGAGGATGGCTGCGGCTGCGTCCTCCAGGTGGTCAGGGCTATAGCATCAAAGGCACCTGCCAGATGAGGAGGGTGCTGTCTGTCTCCCCACATGGGGCCGGCCTCCCGCTGACACCCGGGCCACTGCTGAAGTTGCGGTAGCCCTGCCCGCCGGAGATGATGGCCACGGAGCAGATCTCTTTGCGGTGGGCATCTCGGGCACAGGGCCGGCTGCGCACCCAGACGTCAGGATCGTCGGCCATCTCGTAGATGGAGCCGTCCTCCTCGCTGTGCTCCAGGGCCGAGCTGTCGGCGGGTGAGGGCTCCCTCATGGACAGCAGCGGGCCGGGCAGGTGGGCTGTGGAGCGCAGGCGATACTGCAGCAGGATTCCCTTCTTGCGGGTCAGCTCCCGGCCCACGTGGCTGTCAGGCACGGGCGCCGGCTCCTGGGCCTGCCCGTCCAGCTTGTCCTCCTCGGCCCGCGGTCCCTCCGCCTCCTCGTGGTCGCTGCGCAGGATGTCGGGGGCCAGGATGCTGGTTGCCACAGCCAGGAAGGCCACAGGCCCGCAGTGGCCATTGAGGGAGACCATGCCTTTACCTGCGGGAAATGGGGCAAGGCCAGAGCATTAGGCGGGCAACGCTGGATCTCTCCTAGGGAACCTTTTGGCCGGGCTATACGTGGGCATGGAGGGGGTAACGCAGTCGATGCTAGCCCTACCCTGGGGCCCACGGGCTGGTTTTGCATGAGCCAGAGCTACTAACATCAGCAGGCAGTGACCTGACACAGACCTGGGGAAACCCAGTGTGAAATTTCCTGCAGCTCTTCCTCCAGGCCCAGCTCCAGCCTCGCAGCAAGGAGTCCTGCCTGACTCACTGGCAGGGAGCTGCTCTCCCCATCTCCCTGTCCCTCCGGCCCTGGCATCTGCAGCCTGGGCCATCACTGTCCCACAAGACCCCTGCACCCCAAGGGCAGCTCTCTGTCCTGCATCCCAGGCCCAGGAGACAAAATCATGAAGACAGGGCATTGGGAACCTAGAGAAGGGGGCCCCGTAGCAGAGGGGCTGGAGGCCTGGCTGGGCTGGGCCACACTCAGCGCTGGTTCCCTTCCTCACCCCTGCACTCTGGCAGTAGCTGGAGGAGACCCCATGTCCTCCTCTCGGGGCAGAGGAACACGGGGGCCCAGGCTCTCGTATCTGAATGTCAGAGGTCCTCCCTGACCTCACCCTTGTCCTGGTTCCCAGTGCCCCAGAACCCCAGGTCAGGGCACACCTTCCTCTAATGTAGAACACACATTTGTACATGGGCTTCATGAGGAGCCAGGCCAGGTTATTTTCATTTCTGCCTAAGGGAGGGGACAGAAGGGGCCCAGAGGAGACTCTGCTATCCTCAAGTATCTGAACTAGTCCGCAGGACATCTGGTCAGTCTATGCACTCTTGTGCCCATTTTCCAGATTAGGAAACTGAGACTCAGGAATAAGGTGTGAGGTAGTAGGGCCGGGACACCTGAAGCAGCACCCAGATGAGAGGAAGCCAGAGGCTGGACCCCACACCACCCCAGCAGGGAGTGTAAAAATGCAACTTGCAAATCACTGCCGCCCACCAGCCCTGCAAGCCCAGCCTGTGGCCCTGCCAGGCTCAGTCCCAGAACCTCACCTGTGATTTTGGGGATGCCCTCCAGCCGGGGCACAGGCAGCAGGACGATGACACCCTGGTCAGTGCCCACCCAGAGCAGACCCTGGCAGATCAGGAGGCTGGTGACACACAAGTGCTTCTGGCCTGCAGAGAGGGAGGTCACATGAGCAGGTTCCTCGCTGGGGACAGCGATGGGCTCTGGGCATCACCATGAGGTGTGGGGGGGTGCCCTGCCTGGACTCCTCTCCTACGAGAAACCTGAGGCTAGACAGTTCCATGCTTTAGATCTGAGACCCAGCTGAGATGTGGACTTGGGTCCCCTAGCCGAGCCTCAGTTTCCCCTATGTGAAATGGGTGGCCTAGAGGACAGACACAGTGGGGCAACATGTGAGCTCCCAGCAGCCCATGCCAGGATCGTGGCCGGCAGGCCGGGCTGTGAGGCCAGGGAAGGCAAAGGTTGGCACATGGCGGGAGGGCGGGGGGGGACAGTCAGGGTCAGAAATGCCAGTTGGCAGTGAGTATGGCTCTTCCATAAAGCACGGCCTCCGGCCCGGACTGACACTGTGCCCATCTGGGCACTGCCTGGGCTGCAGGACTCCTTGTGCCAGGAGTGGTGTGTTCGTACGTCAGTCCGGATTGGTCCTTTCCCAGTGACCTCCCTGATGCTGGCTCCCCAAGAACGGGGTGGCAATGCAGTCCCGTTGCTCCTTACAGGGAGAACGCATAGGTGGCCACACCACAGAAGGGCCAGGAGCAAGGTTCGAATCCTGGCTCTGCCACTTCCTAGCTGAGTGACCCAGGCCCGTCCTAAACCTCTCTGTCACGGCTTCCTCCCTCGTGAAAGGGGAGGGGAGACTTCCGGCACGCTGTCCTGTGAGTTAGAGGGGCTGAGGGATACCACACTGTTACCCCAGAGCCTGGCACACAGCCCGTCCAGCAGGAGCTATCTGCAGCCGTGCTGCTGCTGTTGGTCCTGACCAAGGGACCAGAGCCCAGAGAGGAAGAGGGTGGGCAGGAGGCCTCTCTGCACAGGGACGGAGCCTCCTGGGGCACCAGCAGTGGGCACAGTCCTCCCGAGCTCCTGCAGACTCCCCGGCTCCTGCCTTTCCAAAGGGCTGTCTCCCTCTTGTCTCAATCCCAGCCCTCTGAGAAGGCTTCCTTCTTCCCGCAAAGGAAATTCAAATCCAGGCCATGTATTGTAGTGACAAGCCAGGGCGTGTATGCCATGAGGCGCTGGCAGCGGTCCTCAAACCTGGGCACACATCAGCATCCCCGAAGGCTGACCACACAACCTGGGCAGGGCTGCACCCTAAAAAGTCCCAGGCCTGTGGACTGTGCTTCCTGAGACTCCGGGTCAGTTCAAAAGCCCCCGTACACCAGCTCCAATCTGCCAGCTGCCGTGAAACAGCTGTGACAGCTATAAGATGTGGTGCTGTTCCTAGTTCCCGGATGGGAACACTGAGGTTCACAGGGTAGAAGTGCAAATGACATCAGGTCCACAGGGACAGGGATATGTGCTCCCCTGGGGTGGCAGTCTTGGAGGAGGAGGGTATGATTCACCACCCTCCTGGGCTACACACAGCACTGTCTAAGCCAGGGTGCCACCCTGTCACCCTCTGTCCACCAGGAACACCCTGCATACCTCCTGAGCTCTGAAGATGCCACCTGGGGCACAGCTGGATCCATGAAAGTCCCTGCTCTAGAATTCTCTGCAATGCTGGGAATGTTCTCTCCCTACTGTCCTATCCAGTGGCCATGGGTGATACATGGCCACAGAGCAGTGGGATGCAGCCACGGGGCCACAGAGAAGGAATTCTCCACGTCATCTTAATCACGGCTCCTGTGGTGGATGGGATGGATGGACAGCAAATGTGAAGTGGAAGACATGAATGTCAGCGTCCTTTACCAGTTGTGTAAATTTGAACTCCTCCCTCTCCTGAATCGATAATACTGCACATCGCTTGGCCAATTTATGATCATTAAAAGTATTACATAAATACATAAATACGTGTACATGCACAGTTGAACTCATAGCACCCAATCAATAAACGCGGACTATTAGTATAATGTTTATAACTTAAAGGATGTAACACTGATGTCTGACAATCAGTTCTAACCTCTAACGAGCCAGAAACCCATAAAAACAACAAGGCCAGGAGGGGGAGTGGCGCGGAAGTCCCCGCCCCCTCTTTCCAGGGCTGGCTGGGGGCCTTGGGACCAGCAACAGACAGCTTCCTCCCCACGCCCCACGCGTACCTCCCAGCCCTGCCAGGCAACCGAAACCCTGCAAGTGAACGGGAGAGAGGAGAGCGAGGGCGCAGAGATGGAGCCAGGCTGAGAAACCACTCCATCGTCAGCCCGCTGCCCGGCCCCACTCCTCCCCCAGCGAGGCACTTCACAAACAGCCTGAGAGGAAAAAAATTCTAATGGTGGATAAATATTTTATCACAGAGACTTAATGCAGCAGTGTGCAGCTCACCCAAGCCATCTATCTGGAGATATACAACTTTAAAAAGCTCAGGCTCTCGGAGAACATTTTATTAATGACCTGTCTAGTTAAAAGGAGGAGGGAGTTTAGGTTAAAAAATGCATTAATACCAGTCGGATACTCGAGTGGAAGCAAGGGTCGGGGGAAGGGATCCTGATAAATTTTTAACACGCCCTTAAAAAAAACCCACACTTAGAAGAGGAGCAAATTTATTACTAATTATGCAATTATTTCATTCGGTGGTGTACGGGGAAGAAAAATACTTAAAAGCCTATTTAAAATATCTCTAATAAAGAATTTAAGAATGGTGCTTTGTTGATCTTCTGTGGGCCACCACGTGGCGGGATTTGAAGCTGCCCTTCAGCCTCCAGCCCCTGCCCTGCCTCGACTTCTCTTGGGGGTCAGGGAGCCTCTCACAGCCTGGGTGGACCTAGGCCTCCAGCACGGCTGAGTGGGAGAAGTCAGGCCTGGGCATGGGCAGTGGAGGGCCCCCTCCAGGAACCTCAGCCTCCATCCGGGTCTCCTCAGGGCCTGGCCCAGGGGAAGGGGTCACTCCTGCCTGCGCTGACCTCGGATATTGCCAGAGCTCTGAGGGATGGGCAAGGAGACCCCGTAGGAGAGCGTGGTGACAGGCTAGCGTGATGGGTCACAATGATGCTGATGCCGATGACTGTAATGTCACCGTTTAGTGACCCAGATACTGTCCTTGCATTGTCTCAAGCGACACCCTCACCTGCCCTGCCGGATGGGCTGTGAGGATAGCTGTCCACTTGGACGCTGACATTCATGTCTTCCACTCCACATTTGCTGTCCAGATATTTTCCGGCCACAGCCAGAAAATGACAGAGCTGGGGCTCCAACAGGAACTCTGGAGGAGGCTCTGGGCTCCCAGATTCAGCCTGGTCAAGCTCTGACTCAAATCTCAGCGCTTCATTGCAAAGAAGGGGAAACTGAGGCCCAGCTGCAGAGGCAGGCTGACCACCCAAGGCTGCACAGTGAATCTGCAGGGGAATAGTGACAAGAACCCGTGGGTCCCCTCCTGGCTCTGGCCTTCCCTGCAGTGAGACGGGGGCAGGCTGACCCCTTAGGCTCCCTGGCCTCCATATACCCGGCCTTAGAACAATCACGCTACCGGTGCCCGCAAGGAGCAACCAAGTCAGTGGCTGTGAACACGCACGCTGAGCCCACGCATCAGGCGACATTTCCTGTCACCTGCAAGGTCTCTAGAGGCTCCTCCATCCTCTGGGCACACTCCACTCCCTCTCGTGCCCCTCCACCCCTACACACCAGGAGATTCGGAGGATTTAAAAGGCCCATAAGACGATCCATTTTCCGTCGTTCCATTATCTTGAAATAATTTAGCTATCAGTGGAAATGTGGAAATATTTTTGTGATATGGAGAAATTTTTATTACAGCTAAAATGGATGAAACCTGGATAATGAATGAAGCGAGTCCCTGACTCCATGAAATACAACAAAACTAACGAGGAAGAAAAGGAGGCGGGAGAGAGAAAAAAGATCCCCTAGCCAGAAGTGGTAGCTCATGTCTGTAATCCCAGTACTCTGGGAAGCTGAGGCAGGAGGATCACAAGTTCAAATCTAGCCTGGGAAACTCAGCCACTTAGGGAGAGGCTGTCTCAGAATTAAAGGGAGAAAAAGCACGGCTGAGGATGTAGCTCAGGGTAAGGCGCTGGGTTCAATCTCTGGTGCTTTAAAAAAACAAAGAAGCCTCCAAACAAGGATCCTCTGGGCTTCTCCACCCCGGGAGAATGGTGGAGAAGTGGGTGTCACCTGGCGCCTGTCACACTGAGCCTCCTCAGGCACCTCCCCAGCCCTGGTGGCCTCTAACCCTGCAGCCACCTCCCACCTCACAGAGACCCCGAGACCACACATGGCTGCTGAGCAAGACGCAGGCCACCCAAGCTGGGCCCTTTCCTGTAACACACAGCAGCGGGACTCTGAAGTGACTCCCAGTGGCAGGGACAGAGCAGGGGCTCCTCCTCCCGCAAACCTCGTTTTCCACATCTGTACATGGGGACCATCGCTGCCAAAGGGGTTCTGGTGAAACAGGGTCCTGCCCAGAAAGCTTAGGGTTCACAGCCAGGCTCCACGTTGTTATTGCATCTTGGGGATCCTGTCAGTGACCATCCTACAAGGGGACCAGCGCAGACCCAAGGGCAGCCTTGCCTGCCCAGGAGGAAGCAGACAGGGTGACAGCTAGATCTCCAGCTGCGGGTGGCTCTCAGGCCAGCTGGGGTGAGCAGGGGCAGAGGTGGCTGTCTGCCCACTCTGGTATGTCCCCCCAAGCACACCCCCTGCACCTCAGCAGCAGATTCAGGGGCCGGGAGCCGACTCTGTGGAGGCCCGGGCAGGGCGGTGGCAGTGCCAGCCAAGCTCCAGCTGCTGCTTCTCACCTAGGGCATTGCAGCCGGCAGTGCAGGCCACAAGCAGCTGCCCCAAAGCCCCGGGCTCCCCTGGCCTCCAAACCCACTGACCTGCAAACCAAGAGGGGCACGTGACCTCCCTAGCAAGGCCTCTCGGGACAGATGCCACCTACAGCCTCCTCTTCCCTTCCTCTCACCCTGCTTGGGATTTAAGCCAACCTGGGTGGTGGGCCACCACGGACCACCTGGGGCCCTGCCCGGCTGCTCCTTCCCGTGAGCCACTTCCTCCGAGCCAGGCTGCTGGGTCACAGGGCAGGGCACACACGGACACAGGAAGGGGAGCTCCGGGAGGGCGGATGGTGTGAATCCCACTCCCCCTCCCCCAGGGCCCACGACGCGCAGTCTCACCCGGCAGCAGGAAGGTGGTCCTGGTGGCGATGTTGATCTCCTGCAGGTGCTCCAGGGTCTCAGTATGGAACAGGCGGATGGAGGAGCCGGAGGAGAAGGCCATCCACACGCCGCTGCCTGCCTTCACCATGTGCGTCACGCTCACCGCCTCGTCCTGGTGCGCCTCGAAGCTTTGCTGGAAACACAAGGGGGGGTTGGGGTGGTGCCAGCGGCTTCCCCAAGGCCCCCCACCACCAGCATTTGCCCAGCCTGAGCACAGACAGGCCTGAAGGGGCTGCAGCACGGCTGAGGTAAATGTCCAGCTGAGGAGAGAAACGGGAGCCACTGCGTGGCCAATTCCCCAGGTGTAAATACTAGTGACATGGCCAGTCCAGGGTAGGGACATGGCAGCCCCCCAGGGCAGGGAGAGGGGACCCCTCCCCTGGCCTCAGCTCACAGATGGAGCAGGCAGAGAAGCCACGGTTTGTGCGCAGGACTCCATGTGCCCACAGCGACCTGCAGACACACTGGGGCGGGCAGGCTGCAGGTGGGCGCCCAACCCTTCTCTCGCACAGTGCAGTCCATAAATGAAGTCCAAGCAGCTTGGCCAAGAGGCAGCAGGGAAAGAGAGGCCCGGGGGGAAGACAGAACAGGGAGAGAGCCTCTTCCAGGAAGCTGGGTCAGGTCCGGAGGGGAAGAAGGCCTTCCAGGATAAGCCATTCCGGGCTGCTTTCTCCTGTATGTTGTTTGTTTATAGGCATCATTTGGATCTCAAAACAAAGCACTTCCCCTCCCTCTTTAAAGAGAAGATACAAACGCTCAGGTTTCCCACCCGCCGAGGAGGAAGCTCAGACTCTCAACTCAGCATCCAAGACCCTCCTCGCCCCAACCCTGACCTTTCCTGCACGCTCCGGACGCCCCATCTGGTGGCCCTCCCAATGCCCTGTCCACACACGCATCACCTGTCACCTTCCACATCTAATGCCCCAATGGCCCTGCCCTATGAAGCCTGCCGCACCCGCTCCTAGGCCAGCCGCATCCTGCTGAACGGCGTCCACTGCTGTGAGCGCAGGGACACCTGCACCGTGTGGCTCGGCTCCACTGTCCCCTGCCCCGAGCTCCAAGGTCAAGACAGAGCCTTCAGCACCCTGTGTGGCACGGGGCACGCTGCCAGACACCGCATGGGTAGATGTCTGGATGCCATCTCCAACCTGCAGCTGTGACTTCTCTAGAGGACTCCAGGGTGCCCTAAAACCCAGCCTCAGGGCACAGGTGTGACCCCACCTCTTCGGGCCAGCTGCGTCTCTTTAAGTCATATTTACAGAAGCCCTCAGTGAACTCGGGAAATGTGGACACCGAGGTCACAGGTGAGAAGGAAATGCGTCCAAGTCAGAGGAGGAGGAGGAAGAGCCGGAGGAGGAGAAGGAGCAGGGGGAGGGGAGGGGAGGGGAAGGGAGGGGAGGGGAGGGGAGGGAGAGGGGAGGGAAGGGGGAGGGAAGGGGGAGGGGAGGGGAGGGGAGATGGGGAGGGGAGGGAAGAGAAGGGGGAGGGAAGGGGGAGGGGAGGGGAGGGGCAAATGTTGGAGTCAGACCTGCTATTAAATCTCATTTGCTCCACAGCTTCCGAGGCCTGAGCCTCAGTTTCCTCATTGGTATGTGGAAACTGTCCTGAGGAGCCCTGTTGCAGATGGCATGCCGCGGGACCAGTGCCCAGGGGGCTCATTCTTTCAGCAGATGTTCTTAAGCACCCACTATGTGCTGGCATGGGTCTATGGGCCGGCAATGCAGCACAAGGGGACAAGAAAAGTTTGGGACCCAAATATTCCCTGCAGAAGACAATTAAAATAAATAAGAATTCCTCCAAGTAGCGATAATCATCAGACAGAAAAATACTGGAGGCCACTAAAATTGGGTGGTCAGGGAAAGTCTTTCTGACCTAAAGGATAAAGCCCCGGGATGACTGGAAGAAGAGAGTGAGCCTTTCAGGGAGAGGAAACAGCAAGTGCAAAGGCCCTGAGGCAGGAATGAGAATCAGAGAAGCTAGGGGATCACAGTGGTAACACCGGGGTTGGCAGACACCACATCCCACCAGGCTGCCTGCAGTGTGTGGTAAAGTTTAGATTCTGTTTATGTGCTGCAGGGTGTGAAGCTGGTAACTGTGTCTACTTTCAAAGAAGTATGGTATTGGGAGCTGGGGATTTAGTTCAGCAGCTCAAGCACTTGCCTGGAAAGTGCGATGTTGAGAGTTCGATCCCAGCACCAACAAACAAAAAAATAGAGGTACAGTATGACAAGTATGTGGCAAGAGGCTGAGCTCCCAGGGTGGGACACCGAAGGTCACCTGTCTCTCTTTCACACCGCGCTGCTCAGAGGTCACAAGGACGGGGTCCCCATCAGGCTGGGCAAGCACAGAGGACGGTTGGAAGGTCTCCTACCTCGCACTGGGGCTCACACTCAAGGAAACCAGAGGTGCTGCTGCGTCCCCAGCCAGGCTGCAGCAGGGCCCAGGAGGTGACAGGAAAGCTCCTGGAGGCCTTGCTGGGAAGTCAGCATCAGCCCCACGCTGAGGGGACACTCTGGGCTCTTGTGGTCAGTATACAGCTGGACAACAGATGAAGCATGGCGGGGGACACTCAGCATGCTTTCTGCACACTTTTCCAAGGGGCGGTGTTCTGCCCTTGCCCGCAGATGCACCAACACACACACACACACACACACACACACACACACACAGCAACAGAGAGGCCTCTTGTGCACCCAGCCCCTGCAGAGAGGTCGGGAGCTTTTCCCACCTTAGAAAAAGCCCAGTAAACTGGAGCCAGACTCAAGACCACAGCCAGCCCGCCCCATGCACTGCTGTCGGAACCTAATTAAAAGAGAAGTCGGCAGCAGAAACCCAGGCTCATTTCTCCAGAGGCACAAGGAGTCTGTCTCCAGGCCCAGGAGCGAGGCCGCCCGACCCTCCAGCAAGCCTCTTCCCTCCCCAGTCTGAAGAAGGCCTCTTGCCCCCACCTGCCACCAGCTCAGTCACCTCAGGGTCTGGAAAGCCCAGTGCTTCCTGCCCTCCTCCCTGGGATCCACAGGGAAGACTTCACCCTGCCCCACCTCAGGAACTGCCTGTTAGGATTCTGTATCAGCCCAGCTGGACAGACAAGGCCCTTACAATGACATCCAGCTGGCTACCATGTTGGTAAATCAAGCTGCTCGAATCCAGCCACGCCCACAGCGTGGTGGCCACAGGCACCAGTCCCTGCTTAAGCATGCAGAGATCTGTGAGCAGACCCTAGATCTGCCCTGACAGGCCTGGGGCAACGTGATTCTGGTATTATGTGGTGTGACCAGGACAGGCGGGTGCCGCTGAGAGCCAGCGTTTGCATTGATGGCCAAGAGTTGAGGGGGATGAGAGAGGGAGAGGTTAGGGAGCAGTGTTGGGGTCTCAGAGTCAAATGATGACGATGAGCATCAACTTGAGGACTGCCCCATTCTGTCCCCTGGAAGAGCCTGGAGGCGACAAGGACCCGTGGCAGGAGCACCCTCAGGTCTCAATTTTAGTCCCCATAAGGGGATGCTGTCCAGAGCACCCAGAGAAATAGCAGATTGGGGCTCAGAGAGCAGGTGTAGAGCCTAGAACTTCCCCAAACACCAAAAAGCAAAGCCAACAATGACAGGACATTCAAAGGGCCCGGGAGCCACCATGGAGGGGCCCGATGGCCAAATTCTAGGCCAACTGAGCTGTCAAAAATACTGCTGGGAATCCTGGGGTCTAGAGCCACTGAGTTTTATAAAGAATCCAGGGTTTTGTAGGAACGCAAAGGGGATACAGGTGGACTAGAGACAGGGAAGCCTCAACCAGTGACACCTGTAAATGAGACGGGCCGCAGGATGAGGCCACTGTAAATCTGCAACCACCAAAGATCATGGGAAGTGGCCGAATCCCCCGCGGGGGCCTGCTGCGAGACAGGACACTTCCACAGGTCCAAGAGCAGCAGCAGGTGACGCAGGGACTGCACAGGGAACACAGCGCCTTCCCCAGGGAGACCAGCAGACCCGCCTTCCTCAGGTGACAGTGAGCCGTGACGCCACGAACCAGACCCAACCCCGAGGGGTCGGGGGAAACAGGAGCACAATTCCCTAAGACACTGGCCTGGGTTTCTCAAAAGGAGTCAGTATTACAGCGTGGGAGAGGGATTATTCCAGGTAGAAGGAGGCCAACGAGACAAACAGCATGCGATCCTGGCCCGGGTGCAGACCGAGCAGCTCTGGCAGGTACTTTGGGGATAACTGGGGAAATGGGCCTTGGGGCAGAATGTAGATAATCTCAGCATCGGTGTTACAACCTGGATGCGTATGCCTTTGTGACGACTTGGGATGAGGGATGGATTTTATGAAGTTGTGGGGCAATAGGCAAAGGTATTTAAAAAGAAAACCCAAAGCTGGCAGGCAGAGGCCAGGGCCCAGCTCCTCTCAGCCCCGTGACTCAGTCTCCAATTTCAACTGGAATCAGGGACAGAAAAAGAAGCTGCTTTGTCAGGGGCTGTGAGGACCGGCCGGAGCACAGCACGCGGCACGCTGGCTGTGCAGGCCTGGTGGGGTCAGGATGGTGGGGAGTGTGGGACCCCCACCCACAGCACCCCATCCTGCACTTTCTGAGGGTTCCAGGTGAGCGATCCTGCTCCGAGGTGCTGACACAGTCCAACCTCCCGTCCTGCATTATTTATGTCCCTCCAGGTGACGCTTCTGCGTTCCCTTCCCATAAATTCCCAGGGCGAGCAGCTCAGCACTCAAAGTCATTTCAGCGGAGACGACGGTGCCAAGGACCAGGAACAGCACAGGGCCTCGGCTCTGGGGCACCGGGAGCTCTCCCAAGGCGGCTGGGCAGCTGGCACACACTGCACCTTCTGCCAGATTCTGAAAGGAAAGAGAGCAGCCTGGAGAGGGGTGGAAGGAGCCCAGGGCCCAGGAAGGGGCTGCACGGGGCATGAGCCTCTCCTGCGGACCCTGCTGTCTCCTACAGACTCCCAGGAAACTCACAGCCCAGCATGCAATTAGGGCTGAGTGTAAAGAGTCTCCTGTCACCCGTGAGCTGGCTCCAGGAGGCCTGGTCACAGGCCCCAGGGTCACCTGCAGAGCACTGGCCTGCACCTCACCAACACTGCCTCCCTCTGATCCCCGCAGCCACCTGCGAGGTGGCTGCCAC